TTCCCTCATCTTTGGTGCTGATGCTCATCAGGCACTGCAGGGGATGGGGTTCCTGCAGCAGCACAGAGTTGCCTCCATCCTTCAGATGGAGCTGGGGTGGAGGAGGGATGGACCTGGAGATCAGCAGGAGCAGGTTTGGGATGGGTAGTGTCGTGGTATGGGGTCTGTTAGCCACCTGGAAGCAAGCAAGATGTGTCCCTCTGGGTGGTTGGGCCTGCAGCACACCCTTGAGCAACAAGAGTTAGGTCCAGCTTGAGCAGGGAAACGTTGGCTCAGCCCCTCTCATCCTCAGGTCTTCGGTTTGGACTTGATCATGGGAAACGATTCCCTGTGGCCGCTGCTCCTGGGCTTCATCTTCGTGCCTGCCCTGCTGCAGTGCATCATCCTGCCCTTCGCCCCCGAGAGCCCCCGCTTCCTCCTCATCAACCGCAACGAGGAGAACAAAGCCAAGAGCGGTGAGTGACCCCCGAGCTCGTCCCACCACACAGGAGGCTCCTCGGCTGCTCCTGACTCCCACTCTCCTCTTAGTCCTCAAGAAGCTACGGGGCACAACGGACGTCAGCAGCGACCTCCAGGAGATGAAGGAGGAGAGCCGGCAAATGATGAGGGAGAAGAAGGTCACCATAATGGAGCTGTTCCGCTCGCCCATGTATCGCCAGCCCATCCTCATCGCCATCGTCCTGCAGCTGTCCCAGCAGCTCTCGGGGATCAACGCGGTGAGTTTGGGGGGTACCTGGATGCCGGGGGGCAGCTGCTTCACCCAGGACTTGGGTTGATCTGGCTCCAAGGCCTGGCTCCTTTCCTCATGGCCCTGCCCTTTGTAGGTCTTCTACTACTCCACCAGCATCTTTGAGAAATCGGGTGTGGAGCAGCCTGTCTATGCTACCATTGGCTCTGGTGTGGTCAATACGGCGTTCACGGTTGTTTCGGTGAGTTTTGGCTCATGGAGCCCTCGCTGGGGTGGATGTTAGAGATGAAGCTTTCCTCCAGGCTGGGGATGTGCTCATGGACACGTGTCTCCATCCAACAGCTCTTTGTGGTGGAGAGGGCCGGCCGCAGGACGCTGCACCTCATCGGCCTGGCCGGGATGGCGGGGTGCGCGGTGCTCATGACCGTTGCCCTGGCGCTGCTGGTGAGTGATGGGCATTGAAGGGATGGGTGGGCTGGGAGGAGGTTGTGTGTGCTGCCCTCCTCTGGGGTAGCTCAAAGAGGGAGGTGTGGTTGGAGAGCCCGAGGAAGGGCTGGTCCTCCTGGAGGTGACGACTGACCCCATCTCTCTGGAGGTCCCAGAACTCCAATCTGGAGAAGCCTCACGGCTTCTCTGCCAGCACCACACCCGCACAGTTCCCACCTCTGGGACAGCTGATGCTTCATCCTCCTGCACCATGCCAACCTTTTCTCTCTCCCTTGGACTAGGACCAAATGTCCTGGATGTCCTACCTCAGCATCGTGGCCATCTTCGGGTTCGTGGCCTTCTTTGAGATCGGCCCAGGCCCCATCCCCTGGTTCATCGTGGCAGAACTGTTCAGCCAAGGCCCTCGTCCCGCTGCCTTCGCTGTGGCTGGGTTGTCCAACTGGACCTCGAACTTCATTGTGGGCATGGGCTTCCAGTACATCGCGGTAATCATCTCCTGGGGCTTGTGATGGGAATAGGGCTGGTGTAAACCTCACCTACCTGGAGCCTAAACCCTGGGCCAGATGGCTGGGGCTGAGGGATGGAACTGAGGAGAGCAGGGAGTGGAACCTGCTGGTCCTTACAGCTCTCATCCCATTGGGATGTTCGATGGTGGGGAGGCCTCGGGCACGTGCTGCAGTGACGGGGCAGCGGCTTCATCCACACCCTCACCCTTCCTTCCTCTTCCCTCCTACCAGCAACTCTGCGGCTCCTACGTCTTCATCATCTTCATGGTGCTGTTAGTCCTCTTCTTCATCTTCACCTACTTCAAGGTGCCGGAGACAAAGGGCCGGACCTTTGACGAGATCGCCTCCGGCTTCCGGCAGGGAGGAGCGGCTCAGAGCGACAAAACCCCGGATGAGTTCCACAGCCTGGGCGCCGACTCGCAGGTCTAACCCGCCGCTCCGGGGCTGAGCTTGGGAACGCTCTGTACAGACCATGGCATGGGGCCGCGAGCCCCTGCCCCGGCTTCTCCCCCCCACCGCCCCGGCTCCAGCGGGGACGGACTCGACCCATTTTATTATCAAGTTTTATTTCGTTTTGTTTTTTTTTTTTTCCTGCTAGGAACGATTATTTTTTGTTTCTTTTGGGGTTGTTTCTTTGGTTTTAGCTGGTTTCGCGTCCAGGATTTCAAAGGCGATCGATGTTTTCCAGCCGGGGCCGCGTTCCCTGGGCTCCGGAACGACGCGACGGGTCCCTCGGCGAGCATCACATCACGTTAGCGGAAGGTTTTAAAGCTGGAACCTGTTTCATGGTTGTTTGATTTTTTTTTTTTAACGTTCTAATCATAGAAAAGAAAAAAAAAAAAAAAAGAAAATCACGTAAATTGACTAAACCTAAAGCCAGGATGGGTGCAAACCCCCACCAGCTCTTTTTTAACGCAGTCTAACTGATTTCAAGCCCCCCCGGGGGGGGGGGTGTCGTGGATGGCGATTTTCCCACCCGGGGCAGCGGTTGGAGCGCTCGGGTGTCCCGGTGCGGAGCCTCCGCTTTGGTTTAACCTGGGCAATATTTGCCCGGCAGCCCCACACTACAGCCCCGGACCCAGCTCCCCTCCCCGCGCTGTGTATAGACTGGAAGATATTTATATTATATATATTTTTGTTCCGTGGTTGTTCATAGGAGCCCTTTTAAGTTATAGCGTTTGATTCGACGAGCGACGTACTGTAAATACTCTCGGCGTATAGTCACGTTGTACAACGTCTCCACAAGGTACAGACGCAAAGGGGGTAGTTTTATAGCGACGAGGAGCAGCTTTGTCCACGGGTAGGACGACTTTTGTATAGTTCAGTACCTGCACTGTAGTTGTACCTATTGCACTGAGTTCCAGGCTGTAGTATATTAAAAACAAACCCCGGAAAATACCTGTCCTCTTCAGAGATAACGGGAACGATCCCGGCACATCCCTGAGCGCAGCTGTGGGAGCTCCCAGCACCTTCCCCGAGCCACAGGCAGGGCTTGAAGTAGTGTTTTCTCAATGTATTTGGGTTGGAATTGATTCAATGTGAAAGAAAAGAAAGGCAAAGGGGAGGGGAGGATGGGGGGGGGGGGAATAAATCACTCCATAAGTTCCCTGTGCTAAAGCCCTTGTGGCGCCTGTGGGGTTTGGTTTAAAACCCAAATGTATAAAGTGAAGTGCCCAGAGGAAGGTGCGTGGAGCGCTCACAATAAAGGAGGATGGACGCAGTGACCTGGCCTGTGCCTTTGTTCCGGGGTTGGGAAGCTTGGGGCATTGTGGGCACCCTCCAGCACTGTGTCCTCCTCATCCTCCCACATGTGCTGGTGTGTAGGTGCTATTGTCTGGGCCCGGGGGGTACTTTGCTCCTACAGAGCCCCCATCTCTCCTCTGGGTCCCTGTGAGGATTTTCCACTCTAGGTATAAGATTCCCGGTTGCAAACCACCCCCCTGGGGGTCCCAGCCCCTCCATGGATCCCAACCCTGCCTTGGATGTGTGACTGTACAGGGCTCCAGCACTGCCGGGCCTGCTCCTGGCAGGGTTTGTTCCTACCCCTCTTTCCCTGCCAAGGCACCAGGACCTGCAAGTCTGAGCATTCCAGGCAAAGAAACGCTGCTTTTGGTCACTTCAGGCTCTTTCTCCTCTCCTCACCCCTGGGGCAGGTGTGGAAGCAGCTGGTGCAGTGCAGGAAATGACTAAAATCCTTCAAACCACCCCAAAACCACTCCTGATTTGCACCAGGCTCTTCCCAGCGCCCGCCCCAGCAGTTCCCGATGCACAGTTGATTTCCAGGCTGTATTTGCAGGGTGAAGCTGCCCGGAGCAGCGGTTGGGAGCCGCTGGTCCACGGCGCAGGCTCAGAGCACTGGGATTACCGGCACAGCTCCAAATCCCTGGGCGCTGTGACCCAAATCCCCCATGACCCAAAGCCCTGTGCCAGCAGCGCGGTGTCCCCTGCTGTGGTGGTTACAGCCATAGAGAGGACCAGTGAGGATGGATGCATCCACCAGCATCTCCCATGGGATATTCGGAGGGTCCCCCCCGGCCTGGCTGCTGTGAGCCCCATCCAGCACAACGTGTACCCACCCCAGCGCAGGCTGCAAGTGGAGGTGTTCCCTTCACCAGCAGCACCAACCCCTTCTAATTGCTCAGGTCCCAGCTTGACGAAGCGCTCACAAAGCCAGGCCCTGGCCTCCATCCCGCTCCCGCGAGGCAATTAAATGCCCTCATAAATCCTCCTGAAGTAAATGAGACTTAATCACGGGCTTAAAGCCGAGCCCTGTTCAGCCCTTGGCAGCAGCAACAGTTCCCCCTCAGCCTCTCCCAGCTCCAGGAGCCTGGCCCACTCACCAGGGTCCCTGTTGCCGAGGGTCATGTTATCCCCCTGCCTGGCTCTCACTGCTTCCAAGGGTAGAATCCCATGGGAGCAGCAGAATGGGGTGTGCTCGGTGGGGGCTGTGGGCAGCAGCACACAGTGCCACAAGGGGACAGCTCCTCCTTCGGAGGCTGGCATCGCAGTTCATGGGATGCCTGCACATTTGCCCACATCTCCTTTGGGTGGGAAGCTCTGATTGGAGCTGCCTGGTCTGTTTGCCCCCCTGACGGCTTCCAGTCCCTCGTGCTGTGCTCCTGGTCCTTCCATGGGTGGCACAAATGAGGCCCTTGGCTCCCAGACTCCTCTAAAGCTCTGCAAAAAGACAGCAGCAGGTTTGGAGCGGAGGAGATGGAGTCAAACCAGGTCCTGAGGAGCAGGAGGGTCTGCAGCAACGACCTTCCCTGTGTCCCTGCAGCAATCTCCCCTGCCAGACCCAAAAGGAATCCAAGGAAAGCAGCCACAGAGCCCTCAGCCAGACACCAGGCGGGCGCAGGAGGCTGTTGGTTTATTCATAAACCATCAGGTCATGAATTATGCATGAGGTGCTGGGTGTGCTTTTGTTCCTACCCTCACGCAGTTCCTCCATAACAGGCTATGGAGGTTGGGTGGTCCATGAGAGCGGGCTCATCCCAACAGGAATTGATTTCCAAACACAGGCCAAGGAGCTGCTCTGGTAGGAAGTTCTTCACTTTGTGGAGGAAGGCTCCATGTCCATCAGCTTCAGCAAGTGCCCGAGGGGTTCTAGAGACTCCTGCTGTGGCAGTTGCTTGGCCAGCTCAAAGGCTTTCAGCCCCAGCTCCCGAGCCTGGGATGAAACGGGAAAGGCAAAGGAATTGTCAGGAAATTGGCTTTTCTCGCACTGGAAGAGCAGCTCCAGCTTCTGAGGGTGACCTGAACAAGCTGCTTTGCAGGAGAGAGTAAAGCTGCCAGCAGTGATCACGGTTGGGATCCAGTGGTGCAGACAGAAGAGATTACTAACACCCGCCCCGTGCTGGGGATCATCACCTCCCATCGAATGCAGCAGCTCACTGAGCGTTCCCAAAGCTGTCTCTGGGAGAACACAGCTGTATTGACTCAGGCTGCACTAAATCCCTCATTTCCCTTGGTAGCTCTTCCAGGGATTAGGCATTCTCACAATTACAGAGCTTTCCCTTTTTTCTCCTAATTTCAATTTGCTTCTTTATGGCTTCCAACCACTGACTCACAGCACTGCGGCTTCCTCCGATACAGCGAGGAGACCATCAGTAACCTGGATCTGAGCCTCCAGGATACAGGCAGCAGCAGCAGCCTGGGATTTGGAGCAATGGCCTGAGCAAAGAAGCCTCATTTCCAGCTGGATTCTGCTCAGCACTTCCTCCAAAGCAGTGTTTGGGAATGGGGCATCGCCTCTGGAATTTTTAGCCATAAAAATCCAGGGGTGCAAAAGCAAAACTGAATCACAGGGTCCAACCGAGGGACACGGCCACGGCAGGGGTCTGGCTCAAGGAGGACACATGTGAGGCCTGTGTCTTGCTCCCTGCAGAACCTGTGCCCTGATGGCTAAATGCAGCTTGTGACCAGCACTGCCCTGCCAGGGCATCCCAGGGAAAGGAGGAACATGGAAAATATGGAGAACTGCAGGATCCTGCCCCTCTGCTGTGCTCTGAGACCCCCCTTGCAGCCCTGATCCAGCTCTGGGGCAGCAGCACAAGAGGGACGTGGAGCTGCTGGGGCAAGGCCAGAGGAGGCCATGGAGATGCTGTGAGGGCTGGAGCAGCTCTGCTCTGGAGCCAGGCTGAGAGAGCTGGGCTGGGGCAGCCTGGAGAAGAGAAGGCTCCTGAAGGGGAGACCTGAGAGCAGCTCCAGTGCCTGAAGGGGCTGCAGAAAAGCTGGAGAGGGGCTTGGGACAAGGGATGTAGGGACAGGCCAAGGGGAATGGCTTTAACCTGCCAGAGGGGAGACTGAGATGAGCTCTTAGGCAGAAGCTCTTCCCTGTGAGGGTGCTGAGGCGCTGGCACAGGGTGCCCAGAGAAGCTGTGGCTGCCCCATCCCTGGCAGTGTTCAAGGCCAGGTTGGACACAGGGGCTTGGAGCAAGCTGCTCTAGTGGAAGGGGTCCCTGCCCGTGGCAGGGGTTGGAGCTGGAGGAGCTTTAAGGTCCCTTCCAACCCAAATCATTCCATGTTGCTATGGATCCACTGTGGCCTGACAGAGACCAACACAGATCCAGAGGGATTTATTAGCCTTGACAGAGGGCAGACCACGAGCAGCTTCACGCAGGGTCACTGAGACAGCTCCGTCCTTGGTCACCCAGCACTGCGAGGCTGTCATGGACTTGGGAATGGTGCCAGGGGAACAGAGCAACTGGCTCCATGAGGTGAGGTGAGCATGGGAACAGAGTTAAGCAGTTCCCCTGCACCATTTCCCTGGGCAAAACCTACCTTTGGTATATCCAAGAGCAGGTAGTGAAGCATGGCAAGAGCGTGCAGGACTCTGGCAGTTTCCCCAGGTTGTTGTGTTGGTGCCTGTTCTCTGATGTCTAATATGGCATTCAGCACTCGGATTCCTTCCACTTGCTGGGCTTCAGCTGCATTGGGAAGGAAAGAGTCCTGTTGGATGTACATCTGTGTGCAAGATAATATATTCAAAACTGGCCAATTATCTCTTCTAGACATCAAAGCATTTCTAGTGCAAGCATCGACGTGGCATCCCCAGCTCCATGCAAATTGCACACCCATTAGCAGGTATCTTTTCATCCAGTCAGTAATTGTGTTGATTAGCCTTTGGTAAGGATGTGGAGTCAAAAACAGCTGCATGAAAAGAGCAACTTTCATACTCCTGTCAGAACCAAGATGCTATCGGGAAGCCCTGTCCTGGGGTGGCTCCGACTGCAGTGACTGCTGATGGAGACAGTGCCTGTGATGGGGTTTACAGAAACCTCTCTCTTCTCTGATCATATCCTTATTGGCAGAGATGGTTGAAAGAGGACAAGGACCAGAGTCTGCTTCAGGGAGCACAGGGTTGTACTGTCCATGTGAGCACATTTCCTAATGCTTTTTGTCATTGAATCCCAGCCTGGTTTGTGCTTGGAGTTGCCCCAACCCCAGTGCAGGACCTTCGCTTGTCTCATGCATCTTTCTGTCCTAGTGAGAGATTCCCCAGCTTCTTTCCCAAGAGTATTCTCTAGATTAACACATCAGATTATCAGTACACGCTATTCCACAGTGTTCTGTTGTTTTGGAAGACAGAGTTGCAAACCTGCCTCAGTGAGCTGAAACGTCACTTGCACAGAATTCAATGGAGACAAAGGAGCTGCAGAGAAATGAGAATGTTGAAGTGGAACCGAATGCCTGAAAGGCAAAATCCTGTCTTGTTGAAGTCACTGCCAAGGGCACAGTGAAACCAGAAAGGGCAAAGTTGTGTTTTCCACCTGAACACCCTCGTTCCTCAAGTGGCCTCACTTGTTCCATCCATCCCTGAGCATCAACATCAGACAGACCCATGCCTGCCTTGCAGCTGGGTCTGTGTAAACGCCACACAAACCATGACCTGGAGGATGTATGGATTCTCTCAAATCCCATCTCCAAACCGCTCTGTGCCACGGAGGTGCTTACTCATGGGCTCCTCACTGACTTCCCTGTCCTCGGTGAACAGGGATGTTGCTGGTTGTGACTTGAGAACCTGCTGCTGGGCTCGGAGTGACTTCAGGAGAAAGGAATGCCAGGCGCCGGTCACCTACCCGGAAACAAGTGAATTATTGCACTTTATGAACACCCAGCATTTAGCAACTGCTGGTTCTATAAACACCGTGTGCTGCAGTGCTCGGCCCGGCTGCAATACCTCACACTGGGATCTGACTGCTCCTATCCCAGCTTTTGTGTGCACTCGCAGCCCAGATACCAACCATATCCTGGGCTGCATCAAAAGGAGCGTGACCAGCAGGTCAAAGGAGGTGATCCTGCCCCTCTACTCTGCTCTTGTGAGACCTCACCTGGAGCATTGTGTGCAGTTCTGGTGTCCTCAGCATAAAAAGGACATGGAACTGTTGGAACAAGTCCAGAGGAGGCCACGAGGATGAGCAGGGGCTGGAGCACCTCCTGTATGGAGACAGGCTGAGAAAGTTGGGGCTGTTCAGCCTGGAGAAGAGAAGCTGTGTGGAGACCTCAGAGCAGCTTCCAGTGTCTGAAGGGGGCCTATAGGGATGCTGGAGAGGGACTCTTCATTAGGGACTGCAGTGACAGGACAAGGGGTGATGGGTTCAAACTGAAACAGGGGAAGTTTAGATTGGATATAAGGAAGAAGTTCTTTCCTGTAAGGGTGCTGAGGCACTGGAATGGGTTGCCCAGGGAGGTTGTGAATGCTCCATCCCTGGCAGTGTTCAAGGCCAGGTTGGACAGAGCCTTGGGTGAGATGGTTTAGTGTGAGGTGTCCCTGCCCATGGCAGGGGGGTTGGAACTGGATGATCTTAAGGTCCTTTCCAACCCTAACTACTCTGTGATTCTATGATCCCAGTGGCAGCCTGGGCTGGGAGCTCAAATCTCCACCTGAGTGTGAAGTTTCATCAAACTTCAAGTAATGTGACTAAGCAGTTAACCAAACTGGGTTGGTGGGGTTGAAGGTTGTGGGGGGAATGAGGCTGATGCTGCCAAAGCCCTGTTTCCACAGAAAACCAGGATAGGCAAAGGAAAGCTCTTCCCCCCCCCCTCCCCAATTATAAGAGTGATGAGAGAATTATTCCTTCCCTTGCTTGATCCCCCTGCTCCAACAGTCTTTTATCCGTGTGACTTTTACTCTTAGCATCAATTTTAGGTGGCTCATTTCTACCTGCTGCTTTTCCCTGGCTACGGCAACTCCCCAGGGACCCTCTCTCCTTGTGGGTGTCTCTTTAACATCTGGCGCAGGGTAGGTGGTAGCAAAACTGGTTTGGAACAAGGTTTAATTGTCCAAATCGAAGACAATTTGAACAACAATCTGTAACCCAGGACAGGATTAGTGTCTGCTGGGCTTTTAAGTATGAAAAGGGTTTCTGAGATCGATCCTAAAAGGCTGCACTGGCACTTGATACGGTCGCCATCATATAAAGGGCAATCAGAAATAGGAAGAACGTTAGGAAAAGCACAGGGACAAAAGAGAAGGAGCTAAAGGATGAGCTGTGGTGTTACCAACCTCGGCGTAGAGTGAGTTTGCTATGTCCATTTTGTTCTGGCGGAAGAAAATATCAGCCATGTGGAAATAGCCTCCAGAGGCCTCGATGGACTTCAGTCCAAACGCAGAACTAGCGAGGTAAACCTGCGATCAGTGTTTAAAATGAAGCCAAACTCAGAGGTTTAATGTTCATCTCAAACCTGGGACACTTTTCATTATGGGTTAATAATATTGCAAGCAATCACTTTTTTTTTTCCCTGTGTAACCATAGTGGGAGTTACACCTGTGCAATGTGGGACTACAAAGCTGCGTTTTGGGTTTGATGCAAAGGAATACGATGCTCCCAGATCCCCTGCAAGCTGGGGGCAGAGGAACCTCACTGCAGTGGGACCCCAAGGAAGCACAGAGCAGGTTTCATAGCACCATAGAATCCCAGGCTGGTTTGGGTTGAAGAAAGCTTAAAGCTCATCCAGTTCCAACTGCCCTGGGCACGCTGTGCCAGCGCCTCAGCACCCTCCCAGGGAAGAGCTTCTGCCTCAGAGCTCATCTCAGTCTCCCCTCGGGCAGGTTAAAGCCATTCCCCTTGGCCTGTCCCTACATCCCTTGTCCCAGGCCCCTCTCCAGGTTTCCTGCAGCCCCTTCAGGCACTGGAGCTGCTCTCAGGTCTCCCCTTCAGGAGCCTTCTCTTCTCCAGGCTGAACAATGGGGATTTCAATCCTGATTTTAGGTACCAATGGGTACATTGTACATTGTACCTGAACTGCTGAGCCCTAAGGCATCCGTGTGGCCACGTTTAGCCAAACTTGTGCTTTACCAGTTATCTGTATTCCCCTGAAGTGACATTGAGACCTTGTCTTTACTGCATCTGCTTATAGATTTATCTATCAATCAGCTTTGTTTTGGTGCTGAGAAGAACAGGTATTCCAACCCCAAGGTGCCCCTTATCCAACAGATAAGTTACTCTATATTTTAGCAGTCTTTTCCCTCAGTTCTCTGCTGGCAGACAGCAGTTCCCTGTCAGCTGCTATTTAACCAATTCCTTATTTAACTGTTTAAATGTTTGGTTCAACAGCATTTCCAATCCCTTTAGCCACAGGAACGGACTGTCAGATTTGAAGTGCCACCCCCCTGTTCCTGGGGATGCTTTCCCTGTCATTTGATCCTCTAAAGGCAGATGAACTCCGTGACATCCTATTTTTGTCCCATGTGGACTAAATTTATCCAGTGTGGAGTGATGCATACTCACTACTGTTGAATTTGATAGTAGCTTTGTGTGGGTGTAATGATGACATTCAGTTGGGGAGGATTAGATCTTCTCTAGTATAATATATACAGCCCTGTCCTTGCTTCGTCGGTGAACCTTTGGGGAGATTCTCCTCTGTGCCATTGGTTTTTTTAGGTATCCTAAATCTGGTGCCCAAAGGGGCGTCAGGTAATAGCTTTTTGCTATTAGCAAGTGGCTGCTCTACGTCAGAGCAGCCTGAGACCTGCCTGAACTTTGGCTGCATGTCTGAGATCTGCTGAGAGTCACACGCCAGCTCAGAATAGCTGGAATGCACCACTGCCTTCCACTGCCTTCCCACTGCCTTCCACTGCCCTGGCTCTGACTGCAGTGCAGGAAACTGGATCAGCTTGAAGGTCTCTTTAACCCAGCCTGCTCTGTGATCCTATGGTGAAACCTGCCTGCCCAGGTTTCCGTATTGATCTGAAGTGTTAGGGAAGGAAGAACAATTGAAGCCTTTCTGCCTTTCAGTTTGCTTACGTCGTTTGCCAGGTGGTACAAAGCCTTCTCAAAGTCCCCTTTAGCAGCACAGAACAGCCCCAGACTGCGATGCAGTTTGTACTGAACAGCAGCACTGCAGTCTGGAGTTCTGAGGATGAGCCACTCGGCTTGGGACAGATACTTTGATGCCTCTGGGAGATGTCCAGCACCTGGAACGACCCATAGAGATAAGCAAGATAAAGAGCATGTTTGAACTCAGAAATGTAGGGAACGCTGCCACCTGCCCTTGTGCAGTAGCTCAATACTGAGACCAAGCTGTAGATTCCACACATCCCTCCTGAATGCTCCTTAGTCAAGCAGGTGTCCAAAACCTGATTTACGGCCAGGTCGAGTGTCCCGAGCTCCCAGAGGAGCCAGGAGCCGTGTATGGCATTCAGTGTCTCCAAACACGTGCTCCAGACAGGTTAGCTCTGGGCAGCCGCTGCTGACTCATGCAATATCACACTGGAATTACTCATGGCACCTTTTCCCCCTTCCCTCACCACACCATTTACGCCAGTCCTGGAGACAGCTCCATTCTGCTGGCAGAGCGTTCATTGTGTGTGCCCCTGCAGTGGGGATGATTTATGGTGATTTCTCAGCCCTTACGTGCAGCTGAGGGAAGCAGCTCCCCACATGCAGAGCCCTAATGGGACCTTTTGTCTGGAGCATAGAGGCCGTGGCAAAAAGCTCTGCTGCAGGCAGGGTGTGCTTTTGTGAACGAACCGAGGTGCTCCTCTCATGCAAGAGCCTCACAAAAGGTGTGCTGGTTCCCTGAGATAAGAGCCCAACGAAGCACCCTGGGGAATTTAAGGCTTTGGAGTCATAGGAAGCCACAGAGGGAGAGATTTTCACACTGCTTCTCTTGTGGGAACGGGCAGAGGGAGCAAACATTTCATCTGCTTTCATTGCTCTCCCATCACCAATGAGGGGTTCTTTTCCCCAGACCCACGCTGGGAAAGGGGTGTGTGTGACTCCTCCAATCTCTCTGAAATGCCCTTGAGGCAGGGCAAGGGAGAGAACATGGCACAATGTTGAAAGGCAGAGCTGCTCCTTCCCTGATAAATGCTAAAAGGAAACCAGAAACCTGACCCAAGGGAGGTCTTGCCCTTGCCAGTGTTGCTATTTAGACAATACTTAACCAGCGGAGGCCTCAGCCAAGAGGAGATAAGCAGGCACCAGTTGGAGGGAATCGGAGCCGTACACCTCGATGCTGAAGCGCAGCGCATGCAGAGCTGCCGGCCGCGCTTCCTCGTGCTTCCCACCCCAAACAAACTCCTGGGCTGTGCTGTACGCCACGTCGATGATGTGTTTCTGCAGGGAAACAATGGGATTGGGACACAGTGAGCAAAGGAGTCAAGTCTGCAAACTGTCAAAGTGATTGTAACGTTGTCTGTGTCTCTAATCAAGGGATGGAAATCAAAGCTGCTTCTAGCAGGAGTAGCCTTGGACATCCTCTTAGCTCATGCGGTGTCTTAGGAGACAAAGAATCCTTTACACCTACCAAAAAGGGCTAATAAGGCTGCAGCAATAAAGGCTGTGAAGCACAGAAAATGACCATCACAAGACACAGAAAAGAATTAGACAAAGGGGCTGCGGCGGGGGTTTGCTGACGGTAACAACAGTGACTCAGAGCATATGGGTTGCCAAGCTGGTGCCAGCACGGGCACAGCTCCAGCAGCAGGAGGCACGGTCTGCAGGCAAGCAGAGGGCTCCTCACACAGTGCTGCAGCTTCCTCCCACCCTCTCCCAGCCAGTTCTGGGCCTGGTATTATGGGCACAGGGACTGGAAAGGTGGTCAAAATCCAAACACCCCAACGCACTGCATCGTGCTTTGGGACACCCATTGCCCCAGCCGGGTCCGGGGCTCAAAGCTTCTGCTTCTCTGTTTGCTGCCAGAATCCAGACCGTTTCCTGTACACGCAGCTGCTCCCTGCCTCCTGCAGCTCACATTTGGTCTTTTCACCCTTTGCAGCATCTGATCTAGTCACCAGCTCCACAAGCTCCTCTCCATCGGAATGCCTGTTCATTGCCAGGAGCTCTACAGCAACTGTGGGTGCTGTGCCCCTACAACGTGCAGAGGGAGGCCAGGGAAAGAGCCAGGATGATTGTTTTATGGTTGTTATTTCTCTTTGCTTTCAGCATAGCCCTTGCCAACTCCAGCACTTCTGTGTTGGCTCTTCACACAAGTGATGCAGTGGGAAAGCTGCCTGGAAAGAATCCTGTTGGTGCTGCCATGGTAAGTCAGGGAGGCACTCGCTCTGCTGTTGCTCAGAGGCACGGGCAGGCCTGTGCAGCAAGGAAAATATCATCTTACCTCTTCATTGCTTTCTGTTTTCCAACTGGGGCTGAGCAGAGGGCAGAAATAAGAAATCCCAACGCTTTTGGAGGCCAGGCTTTGGCATTTTGCTGAGCTTTAAGTGCTTAAAGAAGGGCAGAGAGGATCAAGCCATGGGTGAAGGAACAGTTCAGGGACAGAGGGCCTCAAGGACAGCCTGGGGGTGTTTCCTGGAGATCCTGACTGAGATAAAAGAGCATCCTTTCTGGATAAGGAGAGGTTAGAGGAATGCACACCAGCGTGACAGCACCCAGATACAGCATGAAGAGCTAGGACACACAGCACCCCCTCTCTACCCCTTGAGCTACCAGCGTATAGACAGTGAAACAGCCACACACCAAACCCAAACCTGTGCTGTGGAGCATGTGGCACCTAGGAGAAAGTCAGTACATGCTGGGGGCACAGAGCAGTAGAAGCTGTTATTTATCAGGCTGCCTTTTCTGTCCATGCCACTCTTTGTCTGATGCAACCAGCACCGGCTCTGGTATGTGGGTACCAGCAGATTGTCATCTGGGGAGGTGCTGGAGATCAGCATCGTTCCTTTTAACTCCTTGTCAATGGCATCATCGCTGCTTCTCGTGATGCAAAGCTATCTTAAAACATCTGCAGTGAGGACAAGGTGAGGGTTAGAGCCTTGTACAGCTCCCAGGGGGAGAAGAAAGGGCAGGAGACAACAGGAGCCCTGCGGCACTGAATATTTAAGGCTGTGCAGTTACAAGCCTTCTGGGGATCGTTAGCTCTGGCCCTGAACTGTTTTCATCTTGCCCGTAGCCCCACGCCCCGGACCTGCAGGCTTTGAGCTCTTTTCATGTGTGCTGCAATTACAGAGGTTTCTCTGAAGATGCCCCCACGCAGTTTTCCCCCGGTTGGGGTTTGAGGAGGCCGAGGACCCCAGCTCTGCTGCAGGTGGGAGCAGCGGGCTGGGAACACGCTTGTGGTTCAGTGCCACGTTCAGTTACTCACTCACAGGCACCAAAAGTGATGCCACGCTTGAAGAAGCGATGATTTCAAGAGGAAGGCTCCCAGTGCGAGGCGAGAGCCCTGCAGCCATGGTGAGCAGTGGTGCTGGAGGCTGCAGAGCTGGCTGAGCACGCAGCTCTCCTGCAGGTGAGGCTATTCTACAAACAGAAACTTGGAGCTGTGTCAGTGTGGAGGTGCAGGCTGCAGGCACCCCCCGGGCTACACTGACAAAAGCAGATTTCTATCAACAACAAAGCTCTGGAGTACAGATGAGGTATGAAACTCAGAACCTGGCTCTCAGCTTCCTGCACCTTCCCTTAAGCCACAGGGCACGTTCATGTGCACAAGCTTTCCTGTGTCCTGACCGAGGCTTGAGCTGCCTGTTTGCTAAACAAACAGCACGCAGGAGTTTGGGAGCTACAGCAGAAGTGTTCCTTTGGGCAGGCTTTGAGCAGGTTTTCTCTCTGATCATCAGAATACACAGCTTTCCCCTCAGCTCCAAAGGCCTTTTCTGAAGCATTTTTGTCAGCTCTGTGAATAGGAATGTGATGAAGCCACAGCAAGACAGGGCATTAAATCATCTCACCCCCTCCATACCACTCCTCGGGCAGCCCAGGCACAACACTGCCTGCCCTGTGCCTTGCTGTGTGTAAAGACATGCCAGCTGTGGGCTAGCAGTGGCCCAGCCACTGAAGCCTTGCTGTGAAGGTGAGCAGGTAAGGAGCGAGACGTTTCCGCTTCTTCACTCCTTAGGAAGGAAGGAAGGCAGCGTGTCCCAGCACACGGTGTTCCCAGCACCTATTATATTTCAATGCTCTGGAGACAAGGGTCAGAGAACAAATGTAATAGAGCTGTTAAAGAGCCTGTAAACCCCTCCACTTGGGTGACTTCCCCACAGAGACAGGCCAGGGCTCGGCTCAAGCTGTGGCAGTCGCTCTCTGCTCACGTGTGCCAGCCAAGGAGAGCTGCTCTCCCTTCTCCACTGCCTCTTCCCCTGGCACCTCAGGAAAAGCAAGGATTAGCTTCCAGCTAATCAAGGAGCACTTCCTTGATCTGGCCTCACGTGGTCTTTTGTAACGTACGTAGCATGATCTTAGTTGCTCTGCATTCAGTGATGCAACAAGCATGGTGCCCGATATCAGGTGGAGTTTCTTTAAGCTGTTGAGGACACAAAGCCCCTGCCCCAGTGAGACCCATTTAAACTTTTTGCCTTCTTTGCAGCCTTTATAAAAGATCAGCTTGAAACTTGAACCCAACCCGGAACAAAGGAGCTTTTGCAGGTTCTTGGTGTTTCTGGGGCATTCTTTGGACCTTGGTCCACAACCCTGCCTGGGGTCTTCAGAGAGAAAGGATTCTCAAAACCCAACTGCAATGATGTTCCCCCCAGTGGCACCCTGGGATGGGTACCAGCTCCCTTGCAGCCTTTCTGCTGTCCTGCTCTCCTGCCATGAGGAGTCATGCAATGTTAGAGGGATGATTTATTTTTCCAGGCAGGATTTTCAGCAGCAGATGCATTTGGGCAGGTGATTTTTTTTTACCAACACTATGGAAAAGCAGATCCTGCCATCCCATAAACAGAAAACCAAAAAGAGACTTGAAAACCACTGGGGCTGCACATCTGCACCACCCACAAGGCCAAAAAGCACAGATAAAAGACTTAGTGGGAAAGGGCGTTTAAGTTGGACAGCTAAACAAAGGGAGGGGATTCATTTCTTTGCCCCCCCCGGAAGGGGAATCCCTCCCATCGGTGAGGGGTGAGCCCAGCCTGGAAGAAGCAAAACTCAGCTGCATCCCAGACTAACAGGGGAGATGGACTAATTCCTGGCAAGGCGAGAGATCCAGGAATGCTGCTGCTGCTGCGGGAAGCTCAGGACTTCGAGGAAGGACTGGGAAAGGGGCAAGAAGCTCCTCAAATCATGCAGAGGATGCTCCACTCCCCTTCTGGCAGAGGTTTGCTTTAAAAACCCAACCCTAAAGCTCTGCAGCGAGCACTGATGAAGCAGTCAGGTGCCTTCCCAGCCCTGCGTACATCAAAGGAGAGGAAGAAGAGATCTAATGTGATTCCAGTGGCAGCACTTTGAAGTGGATTTGGTTCTTGTACGTACCTGCCTCCTCAGCAGCTGCTCCATGCCATGCTTTCTCTCTCTTTCCGTAGGGGGACAGGGGAGGGACGTGCGGATTGGGACCAGCAGCTGGCATATTTGCTTGTGGATACTGACCCAGTCAGCTTCCTGATGGTCCTTATCACTAACAAAATGGGGGAGGAGTGGTATTAGTGTGTGCTCGGAAATGCCGTCAGGAAAGGCTATTGACTTCGTGTCTTCTGGACTTTCACCCCAAGAAGTACTCACAGAAGTCACCAGCTGTTTGCTCACCCAGCACTTAATATGCTCTTGATATTCCCAAACACAGGAAAAGGGCTGGAGCAGCTCTGCTCTGGAGCCAGGCTGAGAGAGCTGGGCTGGGGCAGCCTGGAGAAGAGAAGGCTCCTGAAGGGGAGACCTGAGAGCAGCTCCAGTGCCTGAAGGGGCTGCAGGAAAGCTGGAGAGGGGCTTGGGACAAGGGCCTGTAGGGACAGGCCAAGGGGAATGGCTTTAACCTACCAGAGGGGAGACTGAGATGAGCTCTTAGGCAGAAGCTCTTCCCTGTGAGGGTGCTGAGGTGCTGGCACAGGGTGCCCAGAGAAGCTGTGGCTGCCCCATCCCTGGCAGTGTTCAAGGCCAGGTTGGACACAGGGGCTTGGAGCAAGCTGCTCTAGTGGAAGGGGTCCCTGCCCGTGGCAGGGGTTGGAGCTGGGTGAGCTTTAAGGTCCCTTCAACCCAAACCCGGCTGGGATTCCATGACACAGGAGCACGGCGCTCTCCTGCCAGGTCACTGTGACTGTGGATGTTAAAACCTTTTAAACCCCTCACACAGCTCCCGATACAGCTGCATTTGAACAAATCTCTGCCTTTCAGCCCCCAGCTTCATCCTGGGCCTCCTCCCTGGCTCCACCGTGGGTCTCATCCCTCATCCCTGCCACCGGGGCTTCACCCCTGTGCCTTCCGCTTTACCCCGGTACTTGTCCCTGTGACCTAACCCTCATCCCAGTGCTAGTCCCTGCCTCTTCCCCCGTCCCTGTGTCCCCTGGTGCTGTCCCTGTCTCCTGGGCCTGCTCCCTGCCTCCTGCCCTGTCCCTGTGACCCAGGCCGCACCCCAGGCGTTGTCCCTGGAGCCACCCCGATGTCCTGGGTGCCCGCTCCCTGTCCCCCCCTCCCTTTTCCCCTCACCAATAGCTCGTGAGGCGGCAGCGGCCGCAGCGACCCCGCGCCGCGGCCCCGCACAGCTCGCAGCGGCGGCTCCCCTCCAGCGCGTTACCACGGCAACACTTCCGGGAGCGGCTACTTCCGGCGGAAGTCGAGCGGGGCGTGCGTGCGGGCGTGCGTGCGGGCGTGCGTGCGGGCGTGCGTGCGGGCGTGCGTGCGGGCGTGCGTGCGGGCGTGCGTGCGGGCGTGCGTGCGGGCGTGCGTGCGGGCGTGCGTGCGGGCGTGCGTGCGGGCGTGCGTGCGGGCGGGCGTGCGTGCGGGCGTGCGTGCGGGCAGGAGGGAGGGGGAGGCCGCCGCCATGGCGGAGCCGGTGTCTGGGTGCGGGAGCGCGGCCGAGGAGCGGGTGCGGGCTTGGGCCGCGGGGCAGGCGGCGCGGGGCCGGCGCGTGGCGCTGGTGACGTCGGGCGGGACGCGCGTGGCGCTGGAGGCCCGCGCCGTGCGGTACCTGGAGAACTTCAGCAGCGGGCGGCGCGGGGCCGGCTCCGCCGAGCGGTTGGCGGAGGCCGGGTACGCGGTTTGCTTCCTGCACCGCGCCCGCTCCGCCTTCCCCTGGGCCCGCAGCCTGCCCCAGCACGGCCCCGCGCTGCTCGACGCCTTCCGCATCACCCCCGGCGCCGGCTCCGCCGTAGCCGCTGACTCGGCCGCGTTGCTGCCCGCGCTGCGGGGTTATCACCGCGCCAGGGAGCAGGGGCTGCTGCTGCCCATCGAGTTCACCGAGCTCGAGGAGTACCTGGAGCTGCTGCGGGCTGCGGCTCGAGCCCTCGCGCCGCTCGGTACGGGGATGGGAGCGGGACGGGGGTGTGAGAGCTCGGGTGCCGGTGCGGGAGGGGATGGGGAAGCCATGGGTGCGCTGTGGTCAAACCCTTGGGGGTGCTGGGGCTCGCTGTGACAGTGGGGATCCCATTGTGGGGGTGAGCGCTGCCCTGCCTTCATCCCCACCAGCGGCCTACAAACAGCTACACTGGAAGGAAAACCTGTGTGGAACGGCTGCTTCAGGGACTCTGCTACAGTACCCGGGCTGTGAACCGTGTCTGTGCACAGCTCTTGAAGCACACAGGTCCACTGGATTGCGCCTGGAGGCAATGGTGGTGGTGGGGGGTGTGTGTGGAGGGGATGCAGCCCGGCCGGCTCTGCTCCATCGCAGGGCAGCAGCAGGGGCGTGAGCGCAGCCCTGTTTCCCGCAGGCTCCAGTGTCATGTTCTACCTGGCGGCCGCTGTGTCGGATTTCTACATCCCCACCTCGGAGCTGCCCGAGCACAAGATCCAGTCCTCGGAGGGACCCCTTCAGGTGAGGCCTCCCCAGCATCAACCCCCCCATGCCTGCTGTCCAGGACACCAGTGACAGCCTGGAGAAGAGAAGGCTCCTGAAGGGGAGACCTTAGAGCAGCTCCAGTGCCTAAAGGGGCTGCAGGAAAGCTGGAGAGGGGCTTTGGACAAGGGTCTGTAGGGACAGGCCAAGGGGAATGGCTTTAACCTGCCAGAGGGGAGACTGAGATGAGCTCTCAGGCAGAAGAACACTTCAGAACACCCTGGTTATTAATACCAGGCTGATGGTTTGACTTTGTGGTGTGCACTGGTGACATTTTAACCTTGTCTGGGGAGATCTGGCCGAGTACTCTCTTGGAAGGCTTCCCAGTGGAAATATAACATGAACTGAAGCCAGAATTTCCCAATTCCCCCTATCTCTTACTAAACCACATCATAATATTTTTACTGAACCTTTCCTCCGCTCTCTTTCTCCAATGTAGATTACACTGAAGATGGTGCCAAAAATGCTGTCTCCTCTCGTCAAAGAATGGGCCCCAGAGGCGTTTGTTATCTCCTTTAAACTGGAGACGGATCCCTTGATCTTAATCGATAAATCACGGCAGGCTCTGGAGAAATACCATCACCAGGTGGTGGTAGCCAATATCCTGGAGACCCGGAGAACCGCCGTGGTTATCGTCACCAAAGACTCACAGACTCCCTTATCTCTTTCCGAGGAGGAAATAGCCCAAGGCATGGAAATAGAGGAGAAGATAGTGAACTATCTGCAGGGCCAGCACACCCTCTTTATAGAGAAGAAGGTCTGAGGACCGGCTCGGAATGAAACGGGAGATGTTTTCTCTCCCAGGTGAATGCTCAGCGGAACCCAACGTGAAAAGCTGCCGTCCAGAACAGCATCACTTCCCTGCGCTGTGGTAATGGTTATTGATGCTTGGTTTGAAGGGAAGCCGTGCCAGAGGATGGTATTCCTTCTGGTGGTTCAAGAAGGGAAGGATGTGTTGGTTTCCTCCTGTTCTGTGGACTGGGAGAACTGGGAGGTGGAGAAATGTTATCTGTGTCTGTATATAAAAGATTGTCCTGAATCTGCCTCCTCAAAGTTTCTTTTTGGACTGTTGGATGGAAGGAGCGGGGCTTGCCAGGAAGCATGCTGGTTTTGTGGCTGGAGTGGAGTGACAGAGCCTGCAATGACCTGGTATGGACAGTGGATGGTGAAACGAGGGTGCTGAAAGATGGAGAATGAGGTGGTACCAGCTTGGGAGAGCATCTCTTGCTCCAGGGGCAATCCAGTGGACCTGTGCTTCAGGAGCTGTGCACAAACACGGTTCAGAGCCTGGGTACTGTAGCAGTGTCCCTGAAGCAGCAGTTCCACAAAGGTTTTCTTTCCAGTGTGGGTGTTTGTAGGTCGCTGGTGGGGATAAAGGCAAGGAGCTGTGGCATGGAGCACGGGCAGTGGTCTCTGAGCGTGGCATGGGACAAGAGGTTGGAGGAAAGGGGTTGGTGATCAGCTTGGGAGGAGAGCTGCTTCCTGGCTGTTTGGATGAGGTGGGAACCATAACATTCCTGTTTGTCTCTAAATCCTGCTTCCCTGTGATTACCAACATGAAGCATATATTCCCCGCGCTTGCAAGAAGCAGTGTGCACTTTTGGGGTAAAAACCTTCAAGCTGCAGCTCTCTGGTTGTCCATTGTGTGCCTATTTACAGGCTTTCCTTGAGATAAATTCACTGGAAGCCTGTAAGGAAAGGCAGAAGTGTGCAGGAATGCTGCTTTCACGCTGGAAGCCTCTCCAGTGCTCTATTTAAAACCAGGTGGTGACACTGATCACCTGGAAATCGGGTGTGCTCATAAAAAGAGCAGAATAAGTGCAGAAGAGCAAGGAAAGAGTGAGGATGGGCTCAGTGAATCAGGAGGGAGCACTGGATGCTAAAGGACATCGGGAAGGATGTGTTCAGTGGTGGGAGAAACAGCCCAGGTGAGTCAGGACTGCTGGGGCCCAGCCAGGACATGGAACTAACAGTGTGGATGGATACTTGGAGAAGGTGGAGAGAACTGAAGTTCATGGATGTGGAAGTGCCTGTTGGAGAGGTGCAGATAGGAAAGGAGAAGGTGATGGAGCATCCTGCATGTGTGTTTGTGTGAGGTGATGCAGCATCCTGTGCACGTATTGTCTGCAGGCATGAGCCTTGCAAGCTGCCTGCCTTCATCCCCCTGTCCATAACCAATGTGAACGTTGAGTCCTCCTGGTGCAGGGCTTTCCGTGGTCTTTATATGGAGTGGGTCAGCAAAGATGAGAACGTGAGAAGTTGTGTAAGCTGAACATGCCCTTGGAGGAGCGCTGGGACAAGGGGTGGGAGATGTGCAACAAGCACTGGGTGTTCTGGGCTCTTACTATGATTGCTGGACCATGGAGATGCTGCGAGGGCTGGAGCAGCTCTGCTCTGGAGCCAGGCTGAGAGAGCTGGGCTGGGGCAGCCTGGAGAAGAGAAGGCTCCTGAAAGGGAGACCTGAGAGCAGCTCCAGTGCCTGAAGGGGCTGCAGGAAACCTGGAGAGGGGCTTGGGACAAGGGATGTAGGGACAGGCCAAGGGGAATGGCTTTAACCTGCCCGAGGGGAGACTGAGATGAGCTCTGAGGCAGAAGCTCTTCCCTGTGAGGGTGCTGAGGCGCTGGCACAGGGTGCCCAGAGAAGCTGTGGCTGCCCCATCCCTGGCAGTGTTCAAGGCCAGGTTGGACACAGGGGCTTGGAGCAAGCTGCTCTAGTGGAAGGGGTCCCTGCCCGTGGCAGGGGTTGGAGCTGGAGGAGCTTTAAGGTCCTTTCCAACATCATTGTTCTGTGGTGGTTTATGATTCACTTGGAGGTTCTTGTCTGGTTTTACTGCCTTTACTCAGTGACTTGGGCAGTTTCTCGCTCCGTGTGGCTCTGCTGTTACACCGAGCGTCTTCCAGAGGCTGTTTGAAGAACAAAATTGATGGTGCCGTTTGTTTTCCAGCTCTGAACTATTTGAGAGGGGCTCCTTGGGAAGCAGAGGGTTGAGCCGTGTTCCCATGGATGTCAATGAATTTGCCATTGGCTTTTGTGTAGACGTTTTTATAACAACTGTGAAGGAGAAGATGTTTGTGATGGCGATTCAAGCTTGCCACAGGTACAGTGATTGTGTCTAAAACAAATTCCTTCACTTACATTTACTCTCACATGATTTGCTTTCCTCTCTAGCCCTGGGATCGCTTCCAGTAAGGACAAATGGATTTTGCTGGGTGGAGTCCTTGATTTCCTTCAGTTTTCCTACTCTCCTGTTGTGCTTTGAGTACTGTCGATAGTTACCACCTACTCCTTTTGCGGTGTCCTAAGGTAAAACTGGTTCTGGTGGCTCAGCTTGGAACAGTTCCTCTGTTACGTGCTTTATTTAAGGGCAGCAAATACAGGAGTTAGGGGAAACTGATTGCAGTTCTGGGGCTGTTCAGGCCTTGGCTTTTGGGTTTCATGGAGCACATCTGGTGAGGTGATTCTCAAAGTCACCTGCTTGGCAGTCTGGTTCCTTGGGGCACGTAACGCCATCGTTTAGCGTTAAGGATGCTGCTGCGGGAGGGAGCATCGCTGCTGCAGGGCTTCATTGCTGGGTCTTCTCCCGTCTTCCCCACGAGGTGGCAGGCGGGTGACAAAAATATCCCAGCTCTGGGTTTGCTTCCTTTGCTCCTTTGGCCTTTCCCCGTTTCCTCGGGATTCCTGTGGCTGCCGAGCGGTTATTCACACTGCGATGGGAACACAGATCCGTGTCCATGACGGCTTGCTGACTGCAGTGAGTTGTCACCAGCGTCTCTGTGATGCTTTTGGTGCCATACAATGCTTGTGTGCAGCTTCCTGGAGGAGTCTGCTTTGGGCTTTGCTCTTTAAGGCTTGTTGTTACCTTAGCGATGGCATTACCTGTGATGGTCATTGATAACGCGGTGACCTGGGCAGGGATGCAGCTCTGCCTTCCCCCAGCCTGGCCTCTGCAGTGATGGATGCCAGCCCGGGTGTGTTTTGGGATGCTTGAAG